TGAGACGGGTCTGACGAGTGTCCGAGTTGCTCGTGGGCGCGGACGGGACAAGAGGCTCTGGAAGCGAACGGTGAGCAGCCGTGGGCGGGGGCCAAAACGCCGAAACATTTTTCTTCATATTCAAACGATAATCACAAGCAGTTCTTTTTAGTCGTAATTCAAATGAAAAACAATTTTTGTCATGATTTACACCTGAAATTACGTATAATGAATATGGCAATACCTGAGAGTATGCAAGAATGAGAAGAGAAGAACGAGGGCGTTCGAAATGTGAAATGTTAATGAGTCGTTAGTTCTGTAGTTTTGGCATCTATGTATTGATACCCATTTTTTGTTTTGGATAATGGTGTTGAGTACATCGAAAACAAACGGATCTATGTTTAAAATTTTCAAGTTATCGTAACTATTACGCTCCTGACACGGCGGATTTTTATTTATTTATTTCTTTTGTTTGCTTTTGGCTTAGACGTATTCCACTTCGATTGCATCCCGCGCTCGACTGTTCCCAAGAATTTTACCTACATTCCTAAAAAGGCGCAGCCCGATTGCTCTCTTTCGCTTTTCCTTGTGAGTGCAAGGAAGAGAGAGCTCGTACAGGCATCGGTGCTATCAAGATTGCCATTTTGCTTTCAGATTTGAAGATCGCGAAAGAAGAAAAGTGCAAATTCTTTTAATGTGATGGACAGATAGAAAAATGAATTTCAACTGCATCGAATGTTTTTAATTTATTGAAACTGATTTATGCGTGTAACATGGGTTGCTTCAAAAAAGAGAAAAAGGGTGTTTCCTTAAAATATACATAATTAAAATTATTATATTTTAGTATGGTTACACGTTTATGGTAATATACGAAGATTTTGCGACATTCACTTACGTTCGGGGTTTTCTCTCGACTGTTGACATTTATATATATCTATATATCTATATCTATATATATAGATATATAGATATATAGATATATAGATATATAGATATATAGATATATAGATATATAGATATATAGATATAGATAAATATATATACTCGTATATTTGCTTTACTTCTGAACGGAAACAACGAAATTGTTGAGTTCTCCTCCGACCCAATACACCGTCGTGATGCAATGAGGTTATGCCTTCACAGGTAGTCAAAGTGAAAAGGGGTTAACTGAGAAGTGTGTGTCGGGGGAAAACTAGCCGCGCGATGCAGTCGTGCTATTCCCTTTCTTGCTGCCTCTTTTTCTCCCTCGTGCTTTTGGGATCCTAGACAGCTCTAGCCTCTTGTGCGGATGGCAATGGTTGAGGGCGTGAGGGGAGGGGAAGAAGTGCTGATGGGCAGAGGCGTGTAATGCGAGCAGACAGCCGCGCCGCCGATGACGTGGTGGCTATGAATGTAGACCAGAGCAGCGTTTTCCAGCCGACGCGACGCCTGGCGGCGCGACGCGACGCGTCGCTTTGTCAAGGCTGCGGCGCTTCATTTGTTTCGCTCCCACACGGATCGCGTTCGAGCTGGACTTAATGAGCGAATTACGCCACTAGGAACTTTTCCATCTATATTCTGCTCAAGGACTCGCCATCGAGATATGTTTTGCTTGTCAAAATGTGTTCGAAGCACATAACATTTTATTATTAGATGCATTGAACCAAATGGTGAGTCAAATTTGCAACAAATGTATGTGGTAATTGTTACATTTTTGCACGCACTTGGTGTGAAAATGTTAATTCAATCGAATGTGAATTGTGTTATTTATCTCCTGTATTATTTTCGAAAAGAAAGGCAAGTGTGAATTTTAACTTCATTTTCGACTATAACTCTGTGCAAAAAGATTAAAGAACTTTTTTTTATTCCTTGCTTTATCACTCGATGTTTAACTATTAATGATACGTTCTGTTATCCAGTTTGATACGTATTGTCATTTACTTTAATTTGCGTAATAGTATTAATGATATTAGTAGAACGAACTAGTAGTAATTAACTCCGATTGTAAGAAAAATATGTCTCGGTGTTCGAATGTGTTCATCAATAGTTCAGTTAATTTGAATACGTTGCATAAAAGAGCTAGAAAACAAAGAAAGGAAAATGTAAATTGTTTACTCTAATATAAATGTGCTAAACAGAACATTTCTTTGCAATGTAACAAAGAAAATGTACTTTTCTAGTATTAGTAATATAGTTATCGGAAATACATCAAACGGTAATTTAATGAAATAATGAAGACTTGTAGGTGGAAGATGAAAGTGTTTTAACGTTTCCACTATTGGAGTGTCTAATTGTTCTTCGAAGCGAGTCATCGTCGAGGACTAAGCACGCGCGGCGCGGACGGCGACTGGCTCTTACGGAGCAGGTGAGGGGCGAGAGGCGAGCAGAATTGACGTGGCCGCAGCGGCGACGGCGGACGCGAGAAAAATACTGAGCGGTCGCGAAGAAGCCTCGACCAGGAAGCCTCCGCCTTGCGACGGCCCGCCCTGCCTGCCTGCGTGTGTGACTGCCAACCGCCCGACCTACGTTTATTTAGTGGTTACGCGGAGAGCTTAAATGTTTCGTCATAAGAACGTGATGGTGAAGGGATGAGGGCGAAGGGAAGAAGTGAGGAGCAGTGGAAATAAAAGGACATTACGGGATACTTGTGACAAAACTGTTCAAGACCCCAAGTGGAGGTAGGACGGTTGGGAACGAGCAAAGGTGATACCAGAGACACAGCATTGTCGGAGTTATTTTATTTATATTCACATATTTCGTCTAAAACCACTAAAAATCTACAAGTGACATAAGAGGGTGGAGTGTAATCTTTAATATTGTAATAGTTGTCGCCATCTGGCGAAGCGAGCACTGTGTTGGTGTCAACATTCCATTTGCTTATAAAAGAAACGATGAATTCCCGAAAAGCCTGTAATTAAGTGAAAGTCCCTCGGTTCTTTAATGAGAATATATTTGAACACTCTCTGTAACTGCTACTTTAATATTCTCGCTTAGGCCCCAGCGCGTGCCCCAGCTCGGGAGACGGCCCAGGCGGCCCGTCGCATCGACCACCCGTGCGAGGTGCAGCCGTCGAGGACGCGGGGCGACGCGGGGCGCCTCCAACGGCCGTCCTTGGCGGACACCTTGCGCCGGGGGCGGGGTCGCGGCGTTATTTTCCTAGAGCCCTCGCGGCCCGGTTGCGCTTGGAATAGAAATGGGGAAATTAGGAGGGATCCTTCGTTTCTACTATTGGATCTCGGGTGTCTTTAAGACCTTCCCACGCGTCCCGAACCATTAACGCGTGTTTTTCTCTCAAATTACATTAAGATAGTTGAGACAAGTAGAGACAAGTAGAGACAAGTCTCTTTAATAATAATGACAATGTTGGCGATGTACTGCGAGTCGGCAGCAGTGGCGAGCTCCATTTGTGCGGAACGAAAAAAAATGTATTTCTGAGATACGTGTGTGCCTTCGCCTTGTGATGAAGATGTGCAAGGGAATCGCAAACCACCGCGGTAACACACGAAGTCAATATCGTGGTTAACGCGATTGTTTAGTGGCATAACACAAGGCGAAAAGGCTGGAAACTATGAAAATAATAGGAAAGCCTTCGTACACGATTTCGTAACGAACGAGCTACGATTGCTACGTTAGAGAGTTTTTCAATGCGTGAACCACTTTTTGAGCTTTCGCGCACGCACGAATTGTGACGGTGTCAATGTCGAAATTTGTTTTTGACGGTTTTATGTCGAAATTGATATCGGGAAACGATTCTCCACCAGAATTTTAAGGAAATGAAATTTGTTTCCTACTGTGGGGACAGAATGTGCTGCAAACTCTTCTCTTTCCAATGATGCAACACAATGTTCGTGTGTAGATGTAGTCAATTAAAATAAAGAGGATGTGACTTTGTGGGAATTTAGCGCCAATATCTTGCCGTCATAAATCCGAACTACTTCCACTTATCGAAGCTCTTACAACGAGAAAGTGCAAAAGGCTTTGAAGGCCTTAAACAGCGCAGGTCACATAGTTGCTAGCGTACATCACATCGTTTCACGCGTCTTAGAACAAAACGTATTGCTCGTACTATCTCGGAGCTGCTCAACCGTCTTGCCAGGCCCTCCACGAGCGCTCTGTCTGTCGCTCGCGTCGCGGCCGGTGGATAGGTCCTTCCGGGTGGGGGAGGGGGCTTGGCGGGGGGGCGGGCCGTGGTCATCGCGGCCCGCCTGCCGTCCGCCATGTTGGGCGTCCGCCCGTGCAACGCGTCGGCCTACACCTAAATCTCCCTCCCTCCGCGCGCCCCGCCGCGGCGGGGAAGGGAGGGGATGGGGGTGGAGGGGAGGAGCGCGCCGCTGCGTCTTTGTTCGGCCGCGCAGTGGGCCTGCGCAAGGAGGAAGGCGGCGGAAGTGTGTACGTTCCGATTTGCAGGTAATGTATTTATATATAAAAAATAACACTCTAAAACCGATAAAATTTGACTATCTGGATATCACGATTCCCCCCCGCTCCTTTTGTCCTTACGTACTGGGAATATCGCAAGTAGAATCATTATCTCAGAATATTCGAACTCTTGGAATTGTATATTCACTCTCTGTTTCAAAATTATGAATTTCTCCTGCATACTGCTCCTGTAAGGAATATACACTGTTACTAAAAATGTGTATTAGAGATAGTCTGCACTATAAACCATTCAATCTAAAGTATGATAAAACTAAACGACAGGTAGAGTACGGGCGGTTTGTAGGTGTAAAATAAAAGATAAAATTAAAATATAAAAAAGGGATATGTTTGTGGTCCACCGTAGTAAATGATCTTCCCTCTACCTCTAGCTTCACCTTCTCATATTGTCATACGAGCATTTCATTCATTTATTTACTTCTACTGTTGCGGGACCTCTGTGTAAACGACATGTAGGGAACTTTCAAAAATACCTATCTTTGATTCACTTGTTTTTTACACCTGGACTCAATGTATAAAAAATTACACATAAAAATGTCTCGTTTACAAACTAATTCTCTGCACGAAGTTCTGCAAATTGTTTAAGGAATAAGTGCAAGTTACCATGGGCTCAGACTCCGTTGAGCTTCGAATGCCTATTTTGTGCCACGTGGCGGCGTGGTCTGCCCGCTGTGGAGAGCGGGTGCGACGGGTTCGCAGCCGATGCAAATCGGAGACCCCGCGCGCCGCCTGCGCTGTAGCAATGGCAACCCGTTCAATCAGTTTCCATCCGACCTGAATCAGAGTTAGTTTCCGATACCGCAGTTTTGTACAGCCTCCAAAATAGTGATTTGATAAAGTTCAACACTATTTTTTTAAAAATTGTTTTCGTTACTTTCGTTTCGTTTTTGATGGGAAATCTCTTAGTTAAACGAGTATGACAAAGTCTTTTTTGTGAACTTGAAGTGATTAACCAGAACTGTTCTCATACTCTTTGTTTATTCTTGGTGTTTCCCATATTACCTGTATTATTTGATTTTGATTGTATTATTTATCTGCAAATAAAATTCTTCAGTCTTTCATGCCACAAGTCGCTATGTTTTGTTGCAATATTATGCCGAAAAAGTTTGTTTAAATATTAGGGAATAAAGGCTTAAATATAATTCATTTTATAATAAATCAAATTGGGTTTTACCGAAAGGTTCGAATGATTTGTGACATCGCTTACGAAACCCGACTTCATTTGCGTCTTTTCAAACATGCTCATATTTCACTTCGCTTGCTCGTGTCATTATGCTCTTTCAAGCGACGTGTGGAGGGTTGCAGCCAGCAGGCGCCGCTTGTCCTCTGGGCAGAAAGAAAGACCTTGGGGGGGCCCCCGGTACCAGAGGATGCGAACGCGGTACGTGCTGCTCCAAGCCCAAAGAAGCCCGCCTGCGCAAATAGCCCCTAAGGCCGCTCGGGGACATGTAGAGGCTGCAAATTCGCGAAGTTTACGTAGAGATAGCAGAGTGGAGTCTCTGCGGAAGAGCGCGGGGCGCTAAATGTGTGTGCGTGTACACAGGCGGAGTTGCTAAGGAGAAAATATCTCCTGAGCACCACAAATAGAGGAAGAGCGGCATGTTTAGCTCTGGAGGAATGCTAACCTGGAATTATTTGTCTTCCTAGGTATAAAAATAGAACTACTTAGGAGCGATTTTCTGAATCTATAAATTATTATTCTTCATTCTTCAGGTGATATTCCGGGGACAAAATGATCGGTAGCCCTACGTTCCGTAAAGCTGGAAATCTTAAAACTTTCTTTAGAACTGGAGCATTGGTGGGGATAGCCGTCCAGAAGTCCACTAGATGAACGTAATATTATATAATATAAAGGTCGATTACAAAAGGGTTTGCGAAAACTTCAAAACCGAATGTACCGTTTTCCTCGTGAGTTTCTCGCGGGGCGATGGCGTTCTCGCGTGCGGCGTAATGCCCGTTCAGCTGCTCGCGCAGCACGAGACGAGGCGGGGCGGGCGCGCGTCCGCCAAACCCACTCCGCTCCCGCCCCCACCTCCGCCGCCGCCGCCGCCTGCGCTGACCGCGAAAGGCAACCCATGCTCATGCTGCTCTGTCTATAGCGAGTGAGTATTTCGTGTTTCCGTGGCGCATAAATACTTGTATTTTTATTCCGATGTGTGTGGTGAATGTTGTATCGTGAGAGATGACGCTCTTCCTCCACCCCTGAAACGCGATATCTGGCACCGAGTTACATGTCGACTTCAGATATTATCCACTCCCAAGGACCTCCGTTAACTGGGCATCGTCGCAGCCGGGACATGCTCCTCCCGGCTGGTCTGCCGGTGTGTATGGGGGGAGTAGTGTAGTGCATGTATATGCAGGGGAAGAAGGTGGACAAGAATGGGGGACGAAAGATCGCGGTCCATGGCCTGGATACTTCTCCGGCATTCGCCTGGTATTTATGGAAGAAACCACTGAAAACTACCAATCAGTGCATCCGGTCGCTAACATTTCCCCTCCAAACAGCGACTGAATTCAAGCCAGCTACCTTGCAAGTGTTGAAATTCCCCCAACGTCGGGGTCGAACCCGAGAACCTCCTCGTCGGAGACGCTGCTTGTGTAAGAGCCGTCTCAACTAGCCTAGTCGTGTCGAGAAGTCGTGCACTCTATGACAGCTCGTGGGTACGGTATGGGTTTAAACTGTGAGGAAGAACTGTCACCGCGACGGAATTTCCCCGGTGCTCGATATCGATATTCGGGATCCCGCGGAGGGCCCCCCCTCCCGCACGTGAGACGGCGCGTGCCAATGGACGGATGGACGGACGGACGGACGGACGGACGGACGGACGGACGGACGGACGGACGGACGGACGGACGGACGGACGGACGGAACGGACGGACGGACGGACGGACGGAACGGACGGACGGACGGCCCTCGCGTGCGCCGCTCAGCTGTGCCCGACTCGCACCCGGCCGCTGCCCGTGCGACAACGCCCGCGAGCTGAGCTCTTGCGACCGACGGCTCCCATGACGCCCGCCCCCCCCGCCCCGCCCGCTGTCCCCCAGGGACGGCGAAAGGGCTGGGGAGTGAGGAGCGCTGAGAGGACTCTGGACTACAAACTTATCGCCGCGCCCCGCCCGCCACCGCCCCGCCCCGCCCACACGCCCCTCCCCGCCCCGCCTCCCCGCCCCGCCCCTCCCGCCCCCTCCCCCGCACCCGCCCGCGCCCCGCCCCGCCCCGCCCCTCCGCCGCCCCGGCCGCCGCCCCGCCCGCCCCGCCCGCCCCGCCGCCGCCCCGCCCCGCACCGCCCCGCCCCTTTTCGCGGCCGGTCTCACCGGCCCCATTACCATTTGCAGAACTAATGTGGGAAGTCGCCGCGCCGCGCAATTACGAGCGGCGGCTCCGCGTAGAATGCGGGCCGCCAGCCGCGGGCGTTTCCTGCGCTCGCAGAAAGCGCAGGCAGGCGTCTCTGCCCGCCGCGGCGGCGGCGTCGGTCACGTTCAGGCAGGATGCAGGAGCCCTGCGCTCCGCGAACCGCGCGTGTTCCTTCTGCCCGCCACTCAGGCTTTCATTGCACTCCCGGTCCCATCTTGACCCTGGGCTTGTTTCTCACCATCTCACTCTCCTGTAGCGTTAGAGCTCGCGTTAGAATCCGACCTGGGCACTAGCACCATGGGAGGGGGGCGGGGCCCGAGACAGAGGATGGACCATGGATGAAGAGATGTTTGTGGGTATGCTGATGAGGTGTGGTTGACATGATTAAAAGGCGAAATAATTGAGGTCATCTTTGGCAACGTAGATGATTGTTGACGTCTACGTTGACGGGGAGAATATTTTCCCGTGACTTGAAAGTTTTTGGTAAACAATGTTTAAATTACGATTCAATCCGCAGTCAAAGGCCGTCTCGAGCTGTTTCGCTTCCTCTGCTCCGGAGAGGAGGGAGCTGCGTGTTCCTCCAGAAGCGCCGGTGCCCTTGGTGCGTTTGCGCCGACGATGATAATGGCAGAGGGCCTTGGCCCTGCGCGGGCGCCGGAGATACGGCGTGTGTCTCCCCGCCCGCGTTTGAATAAGCAAATTGGGGCATAACTCGTGCCCGCTAAATCTCCCGGGGCCGGGGCCTGCCTGCGGGTGTCGTGTAATGGAATTTGGCCCCGGGGGGGGGGGTCAGGGGCAAAGGAGGCGAGGGCTCTGTTTGCGCGTTCACGGTTAGGCGGGCAAGAGTTAACGTTTCCAGCTGATTCCGAGCGTCCCAACGCAGCTTTCGCTGCCAGTTTGTGCTTGGCCTGCCCTTTTGGCTGGAGATTCCGCCCGCCTGACAGTGGCTTTGGTGTGTGTTGCAGGGAGGTGATGCTGACAGCTTGCAAGTGTTCGCGAGTCTCGTCGACTACAACGTGTACACTACGCTGAACGCCAAGAACCAGTTCCGCGCTCCCACCGAGTTCGGTCTGTTCCTGCGGCCGACCGCCAGCGCCGCCGAGGCTGCAACGGAGGACTCCGGCCTGCGTTGCCTGGCGTGCGAGTCCGAGCGCGCGCGTCTCTGCTGGGTCACCGCCATGAGGCTGGCAAAGGTAGGCGCAAGTTCTCTCAATTCAATTGAGTTCAATTTAATTAAAGGGTGCCTTATTTCACTGGCGAAACAGGCCATCAGAACTGCTCTTACGTCTGGCCATGCAAATTTTGCTACTTCTTTCACCGTCTAGCTGAGAAAGAACGTGTTACTTAGGTGCCGAAACTGGCAATTCTGAATTTCATGTTAGACGTTCGGATCTTTTACATCCAAAATCTTCAACTTGGGACAGCCGACTTTCCTTCGCTTACGGAGAAAGGCGTACGAAGGTTATTTTGCCCTTATAAATCCACGGTTTCGATCAGGTTTGAATCCGCAAACTTGGGTTTAACAGTCGCTAACTCTAACACTACAGATGTCACAAAAAGTTTAGGGGAAAAAGTGTGAATGCCTTATACAGAATGCTTCAGAATAAATGTTATAAACTTCCAAGACGTGTAGGGGACCGAAAATTATTACATTTTGCTAATGAACTTGTGATGGAAAATATTTTAAAGCCTGGCGTTTATGGCTCGCGCCCCTGGTTGGTAGGCAACTTATCCAACGCTGATGTTTCGCAGGCCCACGATCTCTCAGGGGACGAGACAACTGGCAATGACGAATTCGAGTTCTTGGTCTTTGTTCTTCGGTTTTTCTTTTACGAGAAAGTGCATTCTCAGTACCACGCATGTATAAAACCTCATGGACATAAAATCGAGAAACGTTTGTTGTCAAAGGAGAACAATAAAGACCAAAACCTCAGTATTGTGATTGCACGTTGGCTGGTCTCCCCCCAGGTTGTTCGTGCCTACCAACAGTGCAGAAGGAGTTACCTGTCAATCGGGAAGCACGTTGTCGAAATTGTCGTATATGCTTATTTGTTATGAGATTTTCTACCCTATGCCATTGGCAACATTGATCAACATTCATGATTTCAATTTACTAACTTTTTTTAAATCGAAAGTTAATTTCCGAGGAAATTTTCCAGAACGTAATTTACGGATTTGTAATGTGGGTAGCAGCTGGTGAATCTCTAAATGTTATTACTCACTTGTTTTAATGCCATTCTTTTGTCATTTTCAGTATGGAAAACAGCTGCGAGAAAACTACCGTGCTTTCAAGAACAAGCAAGTCGAGTCAAATAGTCCAAAGGAATACAATAGCTACACTGTGCCAAATGTAAGTAATCATTGGCAAAAGGTTTTATTCTGTACTCTCAAATTTATTATAATTTTATATAGTATTACATTTATTTTAATGTATCTTGAGATAAACGTTAATTTAATGAATATTCGTTTGAGAAAAAATGCATTTTAAATTTATAAATCAATGAATTGCGCATTAAAAAAGAAATACATCTGTGGTATGAAGAGCCAGTGTCAGTTTTTAGTAATTTTCTATTTGTGTGGCCAATGGCTGCTTTAAAGCCCCTTCTTTCAGAGGAAGAAAGGCCAAAGTCAAAAGTGGATTCTTTCTTCTAATTTCACATTGATTTACATTGGCCTTCGATTGTTTTGTTATTTCAATGGTAAATTTCAATTCATTCTGTAAAAACTTTAAATATTGACATTGGCCCTTTTTGCACCAAGCTACAGATGTAAATGAATGCTTTTATTTTCGTCAATTGTCGTCTTCCAAGAATCCCGTGATACTAGCACGGTTCCTTACACGCGTGTGTGTGTGTGTGTGTGTGCAGGAGAGTGTGCGTTCGCGAGTGGCCATGGACTTCACGGGCAGCGTCGGTCGCATCGTGGAGGACCCGAAAGAAGCCAAAGCCATCGCCGTGGCCGAGGGCTACTCGTGGAAGCGCCGCTGGAGGCCCACTGCCCGCCACTCTGCCGCCACCATGTGCCATCTGCAAGGCCTCGAGTCCGGCGTGCACATCACCCAGCCCTGGTTCCACAGCGGTATGTCACGGGACCAAGCGGCTCAGCTGATTAGCCGCCATGGAACAGTGGATGGGTGAGTCGTCCTTTCGAGAGCGTTTTACCCTAGCGATACCCAGCAAGGGGTGATTCTGGAGCCTACCGCTTAAATTTTGATTTTACTGATGCTTTTGACGATTTTGATTGCTTGATAAATTGATAAAACGACATAATACTATAAGAGTATTTATTTAAACACAAAAACAATATTGTTTACAAATGACACAACGTTGTAACAGCTGACTTTACAGATGAAAAATTATTGACTTTTTCGCTACAACATATGTACATAATGACCAAACATTACATTTTTTATGTCAAAAAAGACTGACGTATATTTCTAACGTAGTATAAAAATTAATAAGGCCTAAAATTCTACAAATGTTTTCAAAATGTATTGTGTTCCTTCAGTTTTAAGTTAATAGTCCGGAATTGTTTTTACACAGCCTGAAAATAATATCTACGAGTAATGACTCAAATTGAACAAAAACTTTCTATGAAAGTCATATTTTGAACAAAAATTACATAAGAAATCTTATCAATGACTTTCAGCTTCCTAAACATAATTGAAACCAACAAAGAACGATAATTAGTGGGCATCTGAGCCTCCCCGTAATGCTAGGTTTAAGTTGAAATTTGAATTCTCTTCTTGTGATAATAATTCCATGTAAATTTATGTAATTTTCAAATTTTAATAGATGAATTACCAAATGAAAACTTTTCAATTTTTTTAATGGTTTCAAATTTCTTTTCTTCAGAGTGTTCCTGGTTCGTGAAAGTAGGAGCTCTCCAGGATCTTTTGTACTCACCTTCAAATGTGGTTCCAAAGTTCTTCACACTCAAATTCAACCTGTAAGTTTATCATATTTCCTTTATTATTTGTAGCTGAGCTTTTAGTGTTGTGAATGCAAGTCATTCAGTAGAAATGTTAGAAAGCAAATGAGCTCTCAGCAGCCTTGTTATATTCAGTAATGCTTTGAATGAGGTCATCGTCATTGGACATTCAGGGTAATAACATTAAAAACAGAACAAAGTGTGTCCTCTTCAAACATTTTTCAGTTATTTTTATATGCCACTTGAAGTCAAACGGGATAGGATATTATTATTGTTTTTAATTATTTAGCACTAACGAAAATTGTAGCTTCTCAGATGGATGGATCCATGGCTATCTTGGGGATCACAAAGCTATTTTAGGAAGATCTTAAAGGCTCATTCGAGGGGGGAGGGGTAACATTTTTGTGCTATTTGCGATAGTTACCATTGGTTTTTACATCCCTTGAAGTAATCCAATTGAGTTTCTCTGGTATTTGTTATAGACATGTAGGAGTACTGCGTTCTAAGAATCGTATATGTTTCAAAGATTAGGTCTGCTTTGTTGTGGTGGGTTGCGGTCAGGGACATGTAGTCCTGCCTCTGCAGATCTCAAGTTTGAAACTAACAATCACTCAGACCTGCACACATCGCCATCATTTGCACAAACGACATGCAAGAGTGATGGCTGCCCCTTCTACTCTCTTGCTCAAACTGTGGAACAGAATTGAAGAGCCTATTTCCAAAGTCCAAGAGATAGCAAACCCCAGAAATTACATTTTTTTTGTATTTAGTTTCAGGTGGTAAGGTTTAAAATACTTGTCATTCTAAGATATTTTTGTTTATAATCGCATTGTCAGTATTGTCACTAATTCCCTAAAATCCCTCTCCAGTGGAAGTGGTAGAAATAGTGACACGGGATGTGGTGTTACGACGTTTTGGGAGGAAAAATAATTTAAGGATTATTTTTTTAATGAGAATAATACAGTGAGGCCAACATAAAGTATGCAATTCATAATTTTTAAATAATTGTGCTTCCATGGATGAAACTCAGTATGGTAGTCTCCATCAGATGGGTCATGCATTTGTCCTACTGCATTTGTTGTACTTTTATCCATAACATTGTGCCTGAATTAAATGTATAAAAGCCACAAAACATTTTTTATCTTTTCTTCCTTAATTGGGTTTATTTTATTTGTAAGTTTGAAAAGTTTAGGAACAAAACAAGTTAATATGATATTGGATGTATTAAGAATAATTTCCAATAAATATTTTTAAAAAAAGGAGAATAAGAAATTGGAAATAGAAAATTTGGATTGAAAGTAAGGAAAGATTTGGAAGTAAGCTCTTCAATTCTGCACTGAGTAAATACCAAATCCTACCACCAGATTTCAAGCATATAGCACCACAATTTTTCAGAGTCCCAGTACAATTCTAATTTTTACAGATTATGGATATTTTTATTGATTGATTCAGAAATTTATACTTGGTGTAAATACCTTAATAATATTTATTGATTTTTCAAGCAGTACTTTAATTTATAATAGTAAATTTGTTTAATTTTAAAATTGTTAACTTTTTTCTTCAACTACTTGTAAAATTTTGTGACTTACATTCACTTTTACCTGAACTGTCAAATCCTAGGAAAAGTTTGATTATTGTTTGTGTTTGTGTTCTGATAGTTTATGACTAGTGCTGGTATGAATGAATCCAGCAATATACTAATTTCCTTTCAACTTGTTTGTTTAGGTGATGGATCCAGTGCGGGAAGCACTGTGTTACTCGCTGGACAGTGGAGTCACCAAATTTTACGACCTCCTGCAGCTTGTGGAGTTCTACCAACTGAATGCTGGATGCCTCCCTACCCGGCTGACTCACTATGTTGTCCAAAGCCCTTCTGGACTCTTGCCTTCAGAGAAGTCTGTCGCTCATAGTCCAGCCAGCTTCTGACTGAGGACTGGATCACAGTCTACCCAACAGTGCTCTAGATAAACTGTTTCTTAATTGGAGTGCTATGGGAGCTGAAGGATTTCAGATGAATGAGTGATAAAATTTCTTTGAAGAAATAAACATTTCAAGAATTCCCTATGGTGAATTTCTTAAGTGATGAACATGAAAATGCCTTCTTTTAAATTTTCTGTGGGCATTTCAACAACTTCATATGAACAATTCAGTCTGTGGAAGAAAGCATCCTTTATTGCTAATCTAGATGTATTGCCAGAGCTGTCTTAACAAATAGGTCCAGTATAACTGAAGGACCATGAAAGTTTGGGAAATATTACAAATAAATTGATTTAAACAAGCCAATATACTGTAAAATAAAATTAATGAAATCAAGTAATATACACACAATCCAAAACCAAAAATTAATTTAAATTTTGAGGTATTATTAAATTATTTTGCCAAATGAATTTTTAAAATGTGTTAAAGTGGTCTGAAGGTTATGTTTTAAATAACTAGCAATTAACACATCATAGAAAACCCTTTAAAGTCCAGATCTCTTCAAAAGTTTGTACTACACCTTATTTATGTATTACTTAAGTAACTGGCCATAATTTTCTATTTCGTATGCCTAAAATGTTGAACAAAAAAATACATTTGAAAATTGCTAAAAAATTAGTAATAATTTTCGTGGGACATTGAACCCTTGTTAACTTTAAGACAGCTCTGTGTATTGCAAAGATTCTTTGATATCTTGTGATCACTTTTTTATGTCTTTGGAGGAATCACATGAACATCACTTGTATTGCTTTCGTGATACCCACTTTCAGGTTAGTTTTTAAATAAATGAAGGATCAGAAGAGAAGACTATTTTCTCGAATTGTAAATGACATTCTCAATTGTAGATTTTAACAATACACTTCTTTTACAATTTGGCATACTTTGTATAAACTGTTAATGAAACAAGTAGATGTGATGTGGTGTTAATATTATTTGATGTAGAATTATTTTACTACATTTTAAGAGTTGTTCCATCATCGGTAATTGCAGAAATGTTTGTAGAACTATTGTAGAGTTTTATCCATGTCTTCTTAACTTTCAGAAAATGTGTAGTGATCCTTGTGCTTCTGAAAACTCATGGTACAAAAATATACTAATTCGTTGTTTGCTGGGTGTGAAAGGTTTTATTTTAGTGGCACGTAGAAATGAAAACTTTGTGCCTGAGAATGAATACGGATGTACTGAATGAAAAGAATTGTATAAAGTTGATGCTGCTTCCAAATACAAAGGATAATTGTGCATTGTGTTGTTAAATGAATGAATGAATGAATGTTAAGAAAGTATTATGTTTTAAAATTATTTATAATGAGTGTATAAGTTTATTTACTGTAGTGTGTTCACTGAATAATTTTTTCATGCACCTTACAGTATGTAAATGTATGAGTTTGTTTCTTGATCTCTTAAGTATTATTTATTTGAATTCATAGTATGTGTCATAACAGAAAAATATTCTACAGCACAAGTGAAGAAATTATGCTTTGTTATTTTCTTATTCACTGTAATGTAATGTGAGATGGATCTGAAGGTGTAGGACATACACTGTAATTGAAATAGAATGTTTGCTCTTAGCAAAAGGAGCTTTTTATGTTGATTGGAAAATGGAATGTCAGTGTGAAATATTAGGCACAAAGCTCAATGAGTGTATTGTTCATTTGGAATGTACCATCTGCAATATAAACTAAAAGCATAATTGTTCTGACACACTGGCAACCTCAATAGTATTACAACTAAACTATGTAACATGCAGTATTATTATTAGATAAATACAGGGTTGATTTTTAGTTTTAAATTTTTTATAAAAAAGGCTGTGGATGTCGTTTTTTAAAAATCAAATATTGAATTCAAACTGTTACCATCAAATCTTTTCTGGTATGTAAATGATAATGTATTTTTTTCAAAATATTGGCATCTCATGTAGTTCACTTGACAGTGTGAAGTAAGTAATTTAAATACAATTTCATTTCAAACTACCTGAAGTGTTTTCTGTTCTTTTAATCCTAATTGCCCTGTCATATATACCTTTCTTCAACTTCCCTTTATGGTTGCCAAATTTGAAACTATGAAATTGGAGACCTTTTACAAAAATGTCATAATTAGAAATTTTTTGTATTTCCATTATTATTAATAATAAGTTTCTTCACTTGCAATGTAAATTTATGCTCATAGTATGCTTAACCAGGGGAATAAAGAAAAAATGAGGAAAAAGAGGATCTTGTTGCTGTGAAAATGTCTGAATCAGATTTGGTAGTGGTGTGAAATTCTTCTATATCATGTTCAAGTTTATTGATATCATCCATAGGCCTGTGCAACCAAAAACAAAGGAATGAGGGAGGGGGATGACTTATCATTTTTAGGCCCACTTTTTTTGGAACATACACATATTTTATTAGTGTAAATAAAACACACAAGGAGAATAAAATTGTACCTTTAATCATAGTTATTAAATACAATATATTTTATGATTAATTACTTATTTAACAATTCCCAAAAGGCTTGCAGAGCCCCTTTTCCAAATGTTATACAATTACCCTACTTGTCATTTTGAAAAAAGGAAAAACGAGTAACTGAACAAATTTAGGAAAAAAATAGTTTTACAAACCAAGGTTACTCGGTTCTCTTTAAAAAATTTTAAGGATGCCATGATCTCTCTGTGCTCAAATTTTAAAAAATATCCCAGTGGATTTATTTCAAGTTCCCCCAAAATTAAAATATCAGTTTCAAATTGCAGGGGCCGTGACATCAGCCAGATCGATTGATGAATATTAAATTTTGGAGAAAATCGACTGAATGGTTTAGCCGCTAGCGTTGTTCACAGACGGACAGACAGACGTTTTGCCGTCATTCGATTTTTCAGGGTCAAAAACCCAGGAAAAACAGATTCTGGGCACACCACGTGTTAGAGAATTTTTTTTTATATTTAACAACTGCTTATATACACTTTTTCGTTACCAGGGACCTGTAATAAGAGTTTTTCGGTCGAAAATTGGCAGTTTTTTCGCGCAGCATTACATAACTGCGTCACCACTCCATAAAAACAATTTCGGATTAAAACGTATCCCAGTATGAGCTGGAATTAGCCTGCGTCATTCTACATAATCTGTAATATGATACTTTCGACCAACACATTTTGAATAAAAAAGTATCTTAGTGTGTCGATCTCACTCGACTCAGTCGCACACTTGTTGCCATCTACTATCCCTAGGACGGGGAATTATAATAACTATAGGACGGATTTTGATGACCTAAAACATCGCCAAACATAATCAATAAAATACTCTTCATTTTTTTTTAAATCCCCGAAAAGCAAAGAAAAATGACGTAATTTATTTTCTATCAAAACAAATTCAGGAGCCTATTTCAATTTGTTGGAAATGTTAATGATGTAAACGCAATGTCGGATCGAGGGAGGACCATGCCCCCTCACAAAAGGCCAAGAGAAAAAAAATTAAAATGTTAAAAGTGAAGGAAAAATAAAAGTGAGAAACACAAGAACAAATTGTAGAAACGTCTAAAACTTATCGAGAATATAACCGCACATTCTGTCCTCAGCCTTTTAGTTACGAGTAGGAATCCCGATTTTCGCTATTTTTTAACCCAGTGGTAAATACGGAAAATGTCTTCGACTGTTCTCCAGAGGCGTGTGACAGCTGGATAGATGGTGTCAGTCGTGGTGCGTAGTGAACTCTATCGGCAACTCAACTTCCCTGTTGAGTTCTGAGAGGACGCGCACATCAATCGAATCGGCCAATTACAACCATAACCTCCTGCTTTTCCTGTAGTCCACTAGCGAATCGAACTCTTGTATCCGATCTTCATGCGACGCAAAGAGGTATCGATTGCCATTCGTTTCGCTCCATCACTTGTAGCATATAGTGCACTCTATTGGCAATCTTCTCAACATACTCGTGTTGGTCTGTCTAGTTGTCCACAGAGGGCGCGCACATCAAACCAGTGGATTCTTAGTTCAGAAATGATACGAGGGGGAGGGGAAGTGTCAAAATAATTGTAATTATCAATCATTGTGATCCATTATTGATGAGGGGAAAAGCAAGCTATTGAAAATTGTCAATGTATTATATGAATGGTCATTTCTTAAGAATTAGAATATGAATTATTCTAATATTTGTGAGACATGTTTGATGCCATCATACACTGAAACGTGTGAATAATTTTAGAAATACCTAGAACAGAACTAAACATTTTGTACCGACACAGAAGTTCTAAAGTGTTCATAGTTATGTCCAAATATATTAAAATTGCTGACATGATGGAAAGAGATGATATTTAAATTTGGTGCTTCAATTTTTCGTTTTTATTATCTTTTCGGATTATTTAAGTATCTGGAGATGCGATACCTCGCATTCGGTTACCTAGATGATAGATAAAATGATTCAGAATTGGTTCCGAGAAAGTTTAGGATATATTCCGGCTTTTAAAAACGTAATAGTTTCGTTGTTAGGGACCTTTGGAAGAACGGTCAAAGTATTGGTCAAAATAATGAGATACATCTTTTGCACATATTGTTTTTACTTTACCATGAAGTTAATACTATGATTTCAATTCTTTGTTTTTACTCTTTCTCACTTCTACGAGTCGAGAAAAAAGTTAATTTTGCATGACAAAGTGCGAAATTTTAAAATAAGCGCTGTTAGTTGCATTCTCAAATATTGTGTGATAACTTCTGAGAGCCCGCAAAGTTCTTTACGGAGTAAAGGTAATCTTTATTCTGGGCGAAACAAAAGTGAATACATCCATGCATGAATATTGAATAAAGTGTTAATCTATGATATAACTCTTGACGAATCACATTCTAAAAGTAGTTAGACTGTGGCGAAACCAACGAGCTAGAATATACTACATGTATATTATGTAGTATATTCTAGCTCGTTGGCGAAACTGAAACTTCTGGTCATAGAACCATGGATGAATGTGTTAATTTGTGACACAACAATATTAATGTCTTAGATCCATAATGACTTAGACTGTGTCCATCCTCTGACTTCTGGCTCTGACCACCTCTGACAATAGACTCTAATTTAAACTTAGTGGCACTACGAGGTCACCAGCTGGAAGGAGAGGGGGCATTGTCATCCAATCGTATTGAATTCGATTTCAGGTCATAAATATTCTGATTAGTGTTGCCGTCTTCTTCCAGCTTGTGACTTTGAAGTGCCACTACGTTGAAATCGAAGTATAATCTGTTCTTGACTGAAACAACTCGAGCATGCCTAGCACGTGGATCAGTAAATGTACATCGTAAACTGCGTGTTTGTGATATGTGTTGAGAAATGCAGAAAGTTGTAAAATAATTTGATTATGCTGGAAGATACGAGAAAATAGTTCCTTGAAAGTAGGTAAATTATTTTTCAAGTGATAAAAATTTGGGTTAGCATTTTCGACTCAGCGTAGTTTGTACACATCAAAAATCACTTGATGGTTCCAGTTGACATGTACCCCATCCTCGTGTTGGTATTTCACTTCAAATTGACTGCTTTCTTTCCATTTGGAATTTTAACGTGTTATTTGAATTTAATGTATGTGTGCATCTAATTAAGAGTATTGTTTAATGCTGAAGTCCACGCTTGCGTTTCAGATTGATTGAAGTTCAAAATGGGAGTGACCAAACAGTATTTGAGGTACAACCCTTCTTCAAAATTCAATATTATTTGTAGTCCACTTTGCAATATAAAATTTATTACGTATGAAGGACAAGAGGGCCGATATGTTGCTGTTGGTGCCTGCGAAGACGTTGTTATTTGGGATCTTCGTTTAGGAGAAAAAGTGAGCATCTCTTAATAAAAATAGGTTAAATTATTACTGTTTGTTTTGTTCTTACATGAATGTTTGTATTCAATTATAGTCTGCTGTATTTCCGGGAGAAAAAGTACAAGTAACTTGTTTGGCTCCCAATCCAAACAAAACTACCCTTGCTGCTGGATATGAAGATGGAACCATTAAAATATTTGATCTTAAAACAGGAGAACATTTAACAACATTCTCTGGCCATAGATCAGCTATAACATGCTTGACTTTTGATTCAGAAGGTCATCGTTTGGCATCAGGAGCCAAAGTATGTATATTCTAAGGAGATAAAAAGATATGATCGTATTGTTACACTGCATTACAGGATTATAAAATGAATTTATGTCAATTTTTACAGGACACTGATGTCATATTATGGGATACTGTGGCAGAAAATGGTATTCATAGATTGTGTGGTCACAAAGGTGTTGTCACCGAAGTGGGATTTCTGAATGAACACAATGTTCTACTTTCAAGTTCAAAAGATTCCTTAATCAAATTTTGGGACTTGGATACAGCTCACTGTTTCAAAACACTTGTTGGACACAGAACAGAGGTTTGTAAATCACAATTTGTATTTTAAATATTAAAAATAAAGCTGTTTACTGATGAACCTACTGGTTAGTAACATTAGATGTTCTATTCATTAAACCACATTTTGGTTCAAATGTAAATTTTTGAAACAAATTTGATTCATTTGTGAAAAAGTAAAATACAGGGCTGAAATGTTGTATAGGTACAACCTAAGGAAGTTGTTTAAACCAGCACTTCGTGCCATTCTGGCGTTAACTAGGCAGTTAGAATTCTGGAGGCTTTCTTGATAAGTGATGTCTTATAAAAGTAAATTGGTTATTATGCGTTGGATAGACTCAAGGATGTTTATACTGAACGCGAGAGTCGAAGGCCCAAGCCTCACCGTGACTTGGATCCAGGCGAGCAAAGTGAGAAAACTTGCCTTTGAAAATAAATTGGCGTTAGTGGGGACAAAGCATATGGAGGGCAAACCATGAAAATCGCCTATCTGTAAATTTTATTCATTTCTATTAGAACACGTACAGTAATTGGGGCTTAAGCCCCACTGCCATGCTTCTCTAAGGGTGTACCATATACTAAATTTTAACCAAATAAAGAAATTTTCAATACATTTATTATTCAGGTAAACTGTTTTTTTTGGTCCCCAAATTGTTTTCTGATATTCAAAATTAGAAGACGGTGAGAACTCTTTCCTCTTGTTTCAACTAAAGTAAGCTTTGTTGTTGGTGGTGGTGTTAATATCACTGAAGTGAAGTTTAATATTTCCAAGGATGAAATTACAATTGTTGATCCACATCAAAAATTAGAAAAAGTGAATATGAGTCAGAGAAAATATTAGATGAAAGAGATTTGTTGAAGTGTTGTGAACATTACTGATTGTTCTTCTGTGATTGTATGTAAATAACCTTTCATTGTAAATATATTCATGAAAGTAATTCACAATGTATCAGAGTTGCCTTTTATTGTATGTATTAATATAATCATACTCTAATTAATGCCATTATTTCCAGGTTTGGGCATTTTGTTTGTTGAAGGATGAAACTTACTTAGTTACTGGCTGTAGGGACAATGAACTTAGAGTGTGGGAAATAAAAAGAAAAGAAGAAAATGAAGGTGAATCCCAGTTGGGAGAGAATTTCACTGAAGAAGATTATGACGGAATTAAAGTAAGACCCTTGTATATAACGTACAATAACCTACAAATCCGATGGCTACAGTCACGAAGGCAGTAGTGTTGCAGTGAGTGTGTTGTGTGGGGTCGTAGATTCAAGACCTTTATTCACCATTGAATTGTGGCACAATTGGCACTATGTCCCCCACATGCTTGTGCTTGCCTACTCTCACAGTTTTCGATAAACCTGGGTAATGAAAGAGATCGCATTGAGGCAAGAACCTGTTTCATTAAGGTCAGCCAGCATCCTCGATCCGTCAGTATTTTTCATGGCATGGAATACATTTTCAATATCTCATGTACCCCCTACTTTCAGCTTTGGTGGTGAATTGGTTAGCATGACACTTACATTCAAGTTCCTGAGCTAAAACCTGATCAAATTTGTGGATTTGTAAGGGTGAAAAAATCCTTTCTATGTCTTCCTTCAGAGGGGAAGAAACGCTGGCTTTCCCGTGGTCATTCTTCGTCATGGTCATTTTTATTCTTGCATCTCTATATTTTAAGATTTTTTTTCTGTTTGAAATCATCTTTTTAATTAAATATTGAGAACATTAATCAAATCTGTTTATGGCAAACTGAGTAGTGCTTTGTGAATTTCTTACCCTCTCACAATTGTTTAATTTCCAACACAAAATAAATTTCAGAGTCCAATCACCTGTAAGAAAGTTGGATCAATGCTTCGTAATGGTCGGGGGAGAGTTCTTGGTCTGGTCTCTGATGAGTCTGGTCACATTCTTGCTTGCCATGGTTCAGATTGGAATGTTGAATTATTTGTTGTTCATCCTGAAGCAGTAGCGAAGGAAAAATGGAAAAAACGGATTAAGAAGTTGAAGAAAAAAGCACTGAAGTAAGTAACTGAATTTTTTATTTTTGCTAATTTATGGTGTGTGTGTGAACATTGATAAGCCATTTAAGTTTTGAAAAATCATTTTTAATTACATTATGAAATTTATGCAAAGCTCATTGGATGTTGTTGCAGTGGTGAAAGTAGTGAAATACCTGCAGATGAAGAAACTCAACCTTCTCTTCGGGACCAAGTAACCCGACTAACTTCAGTTAAAGTTACTTCAAAAATGAAGTCAGTCAGTGTTGTTACAGGAAGAGGAGGAGAAATTCGAGTAAGTTTCATAACATTCCATGCTTTCATAACCAATCTGTTCATAAAAACATAAGTGTGTGAGAACTTCATTCCCAATATATGATTCTAAAAGGAAAACCCAGTAAGATTACTGAATGAGTTTCAATGAAATATTGTATTAATTCTAATGTAAGACTAGGTTTGTTCTTTATAACTCACTCAAAAAATATAGGGTTATATTGTTTGTAAAGTCATCAAATTCAATGTGCAAAAACTTTTGAGTGCCTAATAAGTAAAGATGATGCAATATGGGAGGACTAACAAAAAAAGAAAAAACATTGATGTGAAGATGAAGAGGGTATTGACAAAATCTTGGTTATGATAAATTTACTTTAAATTCTTAGCTTACAGATAACTTGGAAATTCTAGTGGTTTTGATTAAACTTACTTTGTGTAAATTAACGTTAATTTGTGTTCATCTAGATTGTGGCAGCCTTGCAAGACAATTCCATAGAAATGTACAGTTTGAAAGAGGCTGTTAAAGACACAGAATGTTCTATTCTTCGCACAATAAGTTCTCAAGGACATCGATCCATAGTGCGAGCTGTAGCTTTTAGTTCTGACAATTTAGCTATTATTTCAGCAAGTGGAGAGTCAATAAAAATGTGGAACAGGTTAGTGTATTTGAGTTTTGATTACCTGGTATAATTGCGGTCCTTTTTGTTTAAATTACTAAATTAAAGTACAGAACTTTCTTACTCAGAAAATTGCAAATAATGTCAATTTATGTCGGTGTAAAGGCAGCTCCACACTCAGTTTTCAGCTAGTAGTGAGCAACTTCTTGCCGAATCCTGAGTAGTTGGGTTGAGTTAGTCACTATTCGCCAAGTGACAAACATTCAGTGTTTGCTCTTCCGAGCGTGTGTTAGTCTTTTGCACTAGTCAAAGGAAGTGAACAATTGCCAAGTACATCAGCTGCTTGGGATTGGGGAGCAGTTGTTCATTAAACGGCATGCCAGTGAATGCTGAATGTGTGAAGCAGCCTTTGACATGTAGCTGAATTATTAAGCACTTTAGGGTTACAAAGAAAGATGAAAATGTGCTGGAAACATTCTGATTTGCAATTCAAGTGTGTGGTCAAACATTCAAACTAACACTGATGAGCAAAACTTAGTTTTCAGCAGCATTCAGTTCGTTTCGTAAAAGAAAGTAATGATCAAATTCTTTTTATTTTCATAGCCTCTCTCGTACAAATTGCTTAATTACACTTGTTGCATGCTTCAATTACAACTTTTCACTAAGATAGAAAAACTACTTTTATTTGGATAAAAATATTATCTTTGGATGTAAATGTTTTGAATTTTTGTTTTTGTTTTTGGGTTACAGGGCATCTCAGAAGTGTCTCCGGACAGTGAAAGTAGGATATGCTGTGTCAGTGTGCTTTATTCCTGGTGATAGGCATGTTCTGGTAGGCTTGAAAGAGGGACAGTTAATCATAGTTGATATTGCAGCAGGAGACATTCTTGAAACTGTCCCCGCTCATACAAAGGAACTCTGGTCAATCTGTATTACACCTGAACAGGTATTGTCTTAGTTGTTAAGGTGGTTGTAAACATCTTCCATTTTCACTTTACACATTTTGCAAATACCAGCAGACATTTTATTTACGGAAGAGGATAAAAGTAATTAGTAAAAAAACAGATGAAAAGTGTGATGGTGCATTTGGATGCATCCCAATGAATATTAATAGTGCACAAAATAACCAAAATTGACATATTTTAATAAAGAGACACAGTCAAAGGTGCAATGGTGGAAGTGTAAAGTGTTAATTATTTCTAAAAATCCAAGGAACTGTGCTGTTAGCAGACCAGTGAATAAAGAAGCAAAGAACGTGTAGGAAATAATTAAACAGTTGTTTGAACTTAAGGTTATATTTAGTATAATAAAAAACTTCAATTAAATAAATGTTCATAGATTAGACAAAGACAATTGAATGTTTTTACAACTGAAAAGCTATGACAAATGTTTAGATATAACATAATTTGGAAAAGGGAACGTAATTAAATTTATTATTTGGATTTTAATTAGAAAGTTATTGCAATGAAGAAAATACAGAAATCTAATGACATTTGTAAATTGGAATGTACAGCTAGTTTGACAAAGAGAATAGCTGTCATTTGTTTCAAACTGCGCAGTGTAGAAAGAACAAGGCAACAATGCATATAGACAGACGAATTTGTGATCTTGGACTGGCTACATTGTGGCGGAGATAGAATTTTAGTTTCATGTAGAATTGTATAGAAATTTATTAATTTCGTAAAGGCGACCCTTCTAGTTTGTGTATTTTAAATTCGAGAGTGTTTTAATTGAAAATTTGGAAAAATTGAGAATATAACTGGAACGAGTGGTCGCAGGCATTTGCAGCGGTTGGGGACGGTGCCATTATGTGGTCTGGCAAACCAACATCTGGGGAGGTGATGCATTTTTACCAAAACTAATTTGTAGCAAGGCGAAGACTTGTGACTAGTTTAAATATCATTTTATTAAAATGGCAATTAGAATAAATTCAATTCTCAAAAGGAGTGCACTTGTGTGAATGGAACATAAATTAAATATGTACGAGTATGTGAATTATATTTGGATTTGTTTTGTGAACATGGTTTGAGTTTTGTATTTTAAAAGGGTATCTATATTTTTTGATGTTATGTTTTGTGTACTAGAAAGCTGAAGTTTTGTATGGTGGAGAACACAATTTGCCGAATATGATTTCGGAAAAATGTTTATGAATAAACAATTGCTAATATTACATTGGCAACATTGTTGAAAATGTGTGTATATTTACAGTACGTAATAGAAACCCAATGGTAGGAGAAAGAATAAAAGGGAGCCAATTTCCTAAATAAATATATTATTCAGTTTCCAGTATAGGGATGATTTCATGGGTCCACACTAAAATTATCAATTTGTACTGTTGAGGAAAATTCACTCCATTTTTTTGGTGGTTTCATCGAAGTAAATTAGCCATTGTAAACTTGGTGGACGGTATACCAAATTGTTATTTGTTTATTTCACATCGATTTGACAGACACGAGTGGACCTGACTCGCCCAAGTGTGGGGTGAGATTATAAGTTACAAATATTAATTAATTTTAATTCTCAGTTTTATGATCCATTACAGAAGGTACAAACTTATTCTACTAAAATCACCACTGTTGAAGTCTGCAGGTTCTTGGCAGAGCTGGTCTCCCTATTTGAACATCGTTTAGGGTGCAATGAGTAATGTAAACACTGCAATAAGTAATGTAATTGAAAGAATTGATAAACCAAATTACAGAAGTACTATCTAGCCAAAGCTATTGAACTATATTCCATTACTTGGTTCTGCTTGTAAATTGCTTACTGTGAAGTAACTGACAACAAATCTTGGCAATAAAATTAAAATGCTGACAATACTTTTTTATGATAAAATGCTAGATTCTAAGATACTTTCAAATATTCACATAACTCAAGATAAATTCAGTAATTTCTTCCGCCACAGATTTCAGCTTTCGAATTTCCGTACTGGAGGATTAACTGTGTGGGCAAGCATTGTTATGCAGATGTCACTTATTGTTTGTTGTTGCAGCATGGATGTGTTACTGGTGGTGGAGATCAATCTGTGAAATTTTGGAATTTTGAGTTGATTCCTGATCCCAACAGTGAAAGCAAAGCAAAAGTTCTTTCAGTGCTTCACAAAAGGACATTAAAATTAGAAGAGAGTGTACTGGCTGTCAAAATATCTCCAAATGGCAATTTTATAGCTGTTTCACTTTTGGATTGCACAATAAAAATATTTTTTATGGATACTCTGAAGGTAGTTGGAAGTATTAGTTTGTCAATAATCCAAAAATATTTTATATTTGGTTTCACAATTTTTATTTTTCTGTTTTACAGTTCTTCCTTTCACTGTATGGGCATAAACTGCCTGTAATATGTATGGATATTTCCTATGATTCTACAATAATAGCCACTGGCAGTGCAGACAGAAATATGAAAATATGGGGCTTGGACTTTGGAGATTGCCACCGCTCGATTTTTGCTCATGATGATTCAATAATGGGACTGCAATTTGTGCCCAAAACGCATTACATATTTACATGTGGCAAAGAAGGGAAAGTAAAGCAATGGGATGCTGATAGTTACAATAAAATACTCACTCTGCAGGTATGAAGATGTGTCTAATACTTTTATGTGAAGTTCATATCTGGCTATTGCACCCTGCTATACCTAACAAATTAGGTGTTGAAAGAGAATTTCATGGTGAGGTGATTGTGAAATAATAATGGAAATTGAGGAAAAGTTGAGGAATAATAATGACAATAATTTATTTATAATTGAGATAGCACTGCACCTCATGACCAAGCTGCTCCACACTTGTGGCACCCTTCACAACATCTCGTTTAATTGCGTGCCAATATTTAATTACTTAAATTGTAATTTAAATAAATAAAATAAGTCTTCTTAAACATAAAAATTATAAATATACTGTCTTCAAGTTTCTGAGTTTGTTTTGTTCATTAATCCTAAACTAGTTACACTTTATTCCAAAAACATAAAACATTGCAAGGAACAGATCTGAAGTAGTCTGCAGACTATACCAATCTCATTGATACAGAAATATACCAAGACTGTTACTTAATTGATAAAAATAAACTAGTAGAATGTTAACAAGGAAGAAAATGTGTTGAAACATTCCCATTACATGTGAACTTACATTTTAACTAGGGACATCAAGGAGAGGCGAATACGCTAGCGGTGAGTCCCAATGGCCAATATGTTGTCAGCAGTGGCAGTGATAGAGTGCTGCGATTGTTTGAGCGAACATTGGAGCCGTTGGTGTTGGAAGACGAGCAAGAACAGGAGCGGGAAGAAGAAGAAAAAGCAGCTTTGGCAACGGGAGACGTCACTGTTGTTCCTGGACTTGGTGCACCAAATCTTCCTTCCAGGAAAACTGTAGGAAGTGAGAATATTGTAAGTGTGCTACATAATCAAAGCTGCATTTTGAAGTGAGGATTTCCTAATAACCAAACTTTTCTTGTGTAATTTTTAAAAGGAAGACAAATTTGTTAAATAAATGCAAAATTAAACAGATTAATTTTGGTTAAACCCTTGTTGGGTTTGGAGAGATAATTTTTTTTAAGCATTAAAGGTTACAAAATTTATGGAATTAGAACCACCTTTTTTGGGCATTGAAAGAGGTGAGTCGAATAGTGAAAATAAAATAAATCCAGAATTCATACTGCATCAGTGTTTGAAAACTTCTATAATAAAAAAAGTTGTTTTAAAGGAGAAGCGTTACAAATTGAATTAAATTATTTAAGACCACTTAGAGAAAAAAGAAATATACATATTGTATATCGATTATCTGAATGAATCGGGCAGGACTTGGTAAACATGTATTGCAGAAGCATTTCGTGCATACACCAATTTTGAGCACTAGAGTTCTATTTAGGGCTGGAAAAAATAAAATAATATTTGTTTAAAAATCAATTTATTTGATTTATAGAAGATTTAAAATAATGTATTCAATGTTTTTACTTTAAACCAAAATTGTTAAGTGATTTTATTTATCCTTAATTACTTTAAAAGCAGAAAAAAGTTTATTAATACTTAAGTTTTTATAATTATCATTCAATTATTGTAATTTTATTTTTAACAAATAAAAATACTATATTCTAGGGGTCTGGTGCAATACCACCCTTACCCTCAAAATCTTAGTATACACCTCTATTACGAATTGTTTAATGTTCTTTGTTTCATATGTGTGTTCATTTTATGGTATATTATATTGTACTTTATTTTCTCAAAATTATTCAATTACGTGAAAATCATTATAAGAAATATAATATATTTCTTTAAATCAATGATTTAAATCATACGAGCTTTAATTATATTTTTGACATTTTGGCTTCCTCCAGGTTTTAACTTTGTTTTGTTTTATATAATGTTCAGGGAGGCATATTTTGTCTAATAATTTGTCTCCCTGGATATTTCACTTTAAGCTCGTAAAAGTTAGTTTGAAAAAATACTTTCTACCCAAAAATTTGCAATTCAGATACTTATAAACCAACTAGAAATGTGTAAATTGTTTATTATTTACAAAAGAAATATCTATATTTGTTCAGAAAGAAAAATTTAACACAGAAATTAAAAAGCACCCAATTTACATAATACAACTGCTTTTTTATTCTGTGTTAATTTTTTCTTTCTGAACAATAAATTTATTTTTGTAATTAATATATGTATATACCTATCTTTTTGGAGAGTTTCTTGTCATTAGCAATGTCATGAAGTTTGGGATGAAGCACATAGTGAAATAAGATCAAAAGACTGATTTCTTTATGTACTTTTTGATGAAAAATCCAATGAAAATTGTTATTTTATTCCTCAATCAAGCCTTTGTCTTTAAATTCTACAATAGATTAATAAATTGGAAAGTAAGTTGTTCTATTAAAATAGACCCAATTCTCTTGACATTGCTGAAGTGTATAAAATATCCATTGTGCTCAAATAGTATATGTGTAGAAGAAGAATCAAATTACTGTTCCTGGGAAGAAAAGTATGTTTAAAAGTAATATGCTGTGAATTCTAAATTTGAAATACTGTTTTTGAATTTCAGGCAGAGCAGTTATTGGAATGCTTGGAGATAGGTAAAGAATACAGTGAGAAATTGAAAGAACATGCTGAATTTAGTAAAGCATCTGGAAAGTCGCATCCAGTCCCTCCTCCTCCTGCCTTAATGCAAGCTTATCAGGCTAAAAATGCCGAAGAATATTTGCTGGAAGTGTTAAAGAGAGTTCGTTCGAGGTAAGTTTTGAATTTTAATTTGTAGTGTTAGTGGATTGGTTCTAATATTGAAAAATATAATATGAAGGGAATGGAAAATATTATACATTTTATTTATGCAAATTAAATTGCCATTTAATGTTTAGCTTGTGTGTAGAGTTTATATACATTGTACCAAATTTTTTTGTGCTTGTCATTTGGGAGTTGCTTGTTGATACCAGCAGTGTCACTTGTGACACAGAATAGTAGCAGCTTTTATAGTGACGTAAGCTTTCCTATTTGCCACCAATTTGGCATAAATAAATTATGGTATTAGTGTATCAAACAATACAGTTATGCCATGCGTTGATTCCTAATATAATATCACATCATTTAAAATATCCAGACAGTTTAGGTATTGACTGAAAATATCAAAAGTATAGGGTTGGAATCTGGTATTTGATTTACACAAAAAACAAGCATGTTGCAAGGGCACTAAAGCGTCCAACTGATGAGCACAAAGAAGAATGGTTCAACTTGTAAGTTATGAAACTGTTTGTATTAAAGATCGACAATGTGGAATCAATGTTCTTCTATGTTGATCCTGAGAATTTGGTTTATTGTTTTATTTCATGGATCCATTTTTCATGCAGTGATTTGGAAGAATCTCTTTTAATTTTGCCATTTTCTGCTGTATGTGAGCTGTTGGCTCGCTTGCCTGCGTTAGTGGCAATTGGAAGCCACACAGAGTTAATTCATAGAGTTATGATCTTCCTTCTGAAAATTCACCATCGACCAATAGTCAGCAGTCCCACATTAGTTCCTGTCCTATTGGAACTTCAGAAGTTGTGTTTTGACAAAGTGAATGAATTAAGGGTAAGTTTGAAGAGCTTGTTTTGCATAGTACTTAACCAAAATCTTTCACTCTTGGCAAAAAAGAAATGAAATGCAAGGTTCAGGTTACAGTTGAGGTTATAGTACTCTGAGCATCTTAACTTTAAATTGCAGTATAGCATAAGTAGGCAACTTTGTTGCCAGGTTTCTACTGGGACAAGGCAGATATGGCTTTAATGTTCCAATGCATTGAATACATTTAGTGACAAGAAAAAGAAAAAAATTACACTCCTCCTTTATCTCTCCCCTATCCCTCCATTATATATTTGTGAATCCAATTATTCATGGTCTGTTTCATGATAAAATGATCAAATGAATTAAATTCTTTTAAAACCGTTTTGAAAACCTTTTACTTGTTAAATCCAATTACTTATTGTAATTAAAATGTCTAGGGGGCATTGTGAACAAATCCACCTTTATTACCAGGATAAACTAAAATGAAACGTGCCTCTTTCCTGAATGATTCTGAGCTTAAACTTTCAGTTTATCTCTTTTCTTTCCATTCTTTATTAACATATGCTTGAAGCATGATGTTTTCCCACATCTCGCCTGTGTAAAACATTGGTTTATGGGAGATCTAAAATTAGATGATGTTTTACGTTCCTTAAATACACATGGAATCCTAGTGAAATATATAATCTTCTTCTGAAATACTCAAGGCCGAATTGATGGAGAAAATGCTAGAAAAATCTAACTCAAAAATCAATATTTTTGATGCAAATTTCATCTATGATGGAATACATAGTTGCAACAACATGCAACCTTGTGAACCTCGTTGAATATCACAAATTCCTTTCTAAAGCAAAAATTACACCTCACCCCTCCCACACAAAAATACCTTTCAACCCTTTTCTGCAGATATCTGAGCAAGGGGGTTCAGTCTGCCCAGAACGTAAATTCTTGCTCGTAAATCTTGTTGCACATTCATGAAATCCAAGAACATTGGGAGTTCATAAGCTGTATTACCAAGAAAATGAATGTATTTTGGCTACTATCAAACTTCAAAAATAATTTTGAACTTTCTTCCAACTTTTTCTTGCTTTCACTTCATGGATTAAAGCAAAAAGTTAATCACTTTTACTAATTTTTTCATAGTTCATCAGTAACATTGTAGGAAGGTAAAACAGTGCGCCAGAAAGGCCCTTCACACAGAACTGAGGTGGACTGCCACTGTTGCCACTTCTGTCCTCAGCTTCACTGCCATGCGGAGTGCTACTGGTTGCATGTGAGCATTCATTTCGCCATCCCACCCTTCCTTCTTCCCAATTGCTGCTTCACCCCGTCTAGGATGATCCTGGCTCTGCCTGGTGCTCGTAATACGAACATAATGTGTGTTGTTAACACACTAATCAGCATGGTGCTACTGCAGAGAAGTTTTCCTGGCACACTGTAAATAGTTATAGTTAATTGAATTTAATATATGGACATATTTTATTATTTGTTGTTATCTTTTAAATAATTACTTTCAAATTAATTTATCCTAAACACTAAAAATTTTGCTTGTATTGTTTCTATGATATCAAGCAAATAATAAAATTGAATTACCATAGAGTATGTTGTTCAGAAGATAAGATGTAAGGCATTATCTATAGTAAAAAGCAGAATTGTTACAATGTGTATATATCAAATATTTATTGTTTGTTTATCATAACAAAGTATGTTGTGTTGTAATACCACTTAGTAATATAATTAATTGACTTTTGAAAATTACAATTTAAAAAATTTCTTTACTGCAATGTCAACATTTTTCTGTTCATTTCACTGTTAGACATGAAGGGTCATATGGACAAACAACATGAGAGAAAAGGAGGGAGAGAGAGAGAGATCCATATAGCTCCATACTGCAATTTAAGGTTAAGACACTCTAAAGACAATGTTGGCAATGGGAATGTAAATTAAGTGGTCCCTGATGCTGGTCTTAGTGATGCTGGCTTTCAAAATGTTACCGGATGTCTTTTCTCCTCCTCCCTCCCACTTCTCACACATCTATGCTATTATGATTATAGAATGTCAATGAAGTTACATGTGCTTTTTGTGCAGGATACAGTTGGAGTGAACTTGTATGGTTTTCAATTCTTGCAAAGGCAGTATGAAGAGAAGGAAGGAGGAATGTTATTCAGAGAGGCCTTGTTAGACAGAAGAAACCGGAATCGGAAAAGGAGAAAAAGAGAGAGGACTGCTCAGAAAATTGTGTTGTAATTCATTATTTGGTGAGAAAATATGCTCCATTTTTGCTTCCAAATGCAGGGATGGAAATCAAGATTTTATTGTAGAAAGTAAATGATTTATACTCTTTAATGTAAATAAATTTGATTTTATTGTTAATAATAAACTTGATTGTATTTGGTTATGGAATGTTTCATCTTGTCTCACCTATGGAGCTATGAACTCATTAAGGTGGCATTATGCATATTCCGCAAATAAAACCAGAGGTCAGAGCAGACTGCCATATTGATGTGCCCAAAAACAGAGCTGTCAAGCACATTAATAAATGGGTAATACCCATTTTCAGTGGAATTTAATAATCTTAGGAATATTGATGAGTATAATAACTAAAACTAAGATGCTTCATTACAAATTATGGAGTCACTGTAAAGTATTTCTAGTGTGTGAAAACCAAAATAACATAAATCATCGAGAATACTTAAATGTGCTTCTTCTGCCTTTGAGATTTCTCTCATGATCTCTCACAAAAAGTATACAAATATATAAAAATATTTTGAAGGAGCATCAGATGCACAAACTATTACAAAATATTCTTAGAATTAGTGTTGTTAAAATATTTGAAGTCTGGCTACCACATTAACTACATGATCCAAAGAAAACAGCAGGTTGTCTTATTATACTGTTACTATTTTATTTCACCATTTCCTTTCGTACAATTAACGTACTCTCGTTTGAAGTCAAAAGAGCAGGTGTTAGGAATTTGTAGATGATCAGTTGTACTATTAACGATAACATGGTGCAAATTATTCGGGTTTCTTTGTAGATGATGTCAAAAGTAATCATGTTAGTTATCCATTTAAAGACATCTTCAGTGAATAATTATTCCTGCACAATTTACTTCTCTTATGTGTGATAGAAAAGCTGTTAAAATTGTTGAGACTGTGAGGTTCGAAATATGTATCACATCCAAAATATGTATCACAAAGAAATTCTATCAAACTCCTCGTTTTGAAAATTAACTGAGCATAACTTGGTGTAAGAATTAGGCTGACAGTTATTTTTTCACACAGCTCTAATCCACAGTGCTCTCCTCATTGGATATGAAGGGAAAAATCACAAAATTAACCAGTATCATCTAACTTTACTATGTTTTCCAAACCATATGAACCATATGATTTTTCCAAACTTACTTGTGAAAAATAATTCGTGCCTTTTGCAAACAATTTGTACTGCAGTAAGCTACATAAGTAACCATGATAAACATTTACGAAAGCTTGTAAATCTGATCAAGGCTCTTTAATACTTGAAACTATAACAAATAATACACCTCAACACAAGGATGCCTACTAGTGTTTTGGGCACAGCAAAATGGCAGATCATTGCTTCAGGTGGCCCTTAATTGTGCCAAAATTAAGATTTGAAAAAGACAACATCACAATCTTCAAAGTTCACGTGAAAACCGAATGCAACAGTAATGTTCAAGTTGAAACACTTGTGAACAACTTGATATTGAGAATAAATTCTTAAAATTATTCGAGAACTTACCATGCAAAGATCAGGAGGTCAATGCCAGTTTAAGAACAGAACACTCCAAATTAATGGATTTTATCTAATGACTGGAAAAGTCTCTCCTAAATGTGACTCCTGTAAAGTTTCTTAAATATACAGTACAAATTAATTTACTATCTTCCAATCTCACCAAGTTTGTGATGTCATGCCTTCTTCCTGAATTCCTAGTTCCATGATCTCACCCATCCCACTATAACCTTTCGTTTGTAATCTTGAATGTCGTGTCATTTGAAAATGATAGGTTCTGAGCAAGTGCTATTTAGAACGTAACAGCCTTGTCACTTTCTAGATTAATCACCTTTCTTGAGTGCCTTGTGCAGTGTGATTGCACATTCACTCTAATAGAAGTGTTCGTCTGTAATTTCAATAATGCATAAGTACTTTATTTCATATTGATAGATAATGATTGATAAACATATGTAGTTAGATATATGTATCGATAGGTTGGTCCTTGCTTCTCTTGGCCTGATTGGTAACTGTGCGATTTCTATGCCATCTGCCTATGTGTGTAATTGAAGATTTGAATCTGAAAACCCAGAAAAGGTATGTGCACTGGTAGAGGGCTACTAGCTGCCATGTAGTGTTGAGGATCAAGATGGACCTAAGGACAAAACAATTGGGCTGAAAAAAAAATTAGGTAAGTTATATTTGCTTTAAACAAATGAGAAGTAGATCTTAATAATATTAATTAGGGAAAAATTTGGATAAAAGGTCCAACTGTTCTGGGCTGGTACATCTGACTTAATACTCTTTGTAAAACTTCTCCAGTTTAAAGCATTACCCATTCAAGTGATCACCTGACAAAGGTTATTTTGTTAATCATCAATAATATTGTGATTTTTTGTGAAAATTGGAAGTAAGAAGATGGAAAGCATTGTGGTTTGATAGTAAGTTAATCCTTGCATAGTATTCGAGTAACCTGCAACTGTCCGTTCATGCGTTTGTTCATCCAACCACTCCCTTCACACACCATTGGACCACTTCCTATCCAGCATTCAAGACAGGTGAGGTATCATTTGAAGCATCTTGGTCTCTTGGAGGGGAACAGTTGATATGTTTGCAGATTCAAATGAATTTAAAAATTTCTGCCAAAACTTGTGTATGTGTTTTTAGGCAACTAAATTGCTTTGAGCAACTTATGGCATATACAAAGGTTCAATAGCTCATTTCATAGTTCAATAGTTCATTACTCTCAATGGGGCAAGTGGATTGGCATTGTTTTTAGGTAGATCCTTATTGTACATTCTAAAAAAAAAACCTATGTTGATGGTACTATTTCTAGACCCCTTCTGTGGTAAAACATTGTGATTTACTACAATAAAGTACTGCCTTTCAGGCATGATGTGAATTCTCAGGTCATAATTCATAAGTCTGACAATATGTAAACCTCTTTGTGAGGAATTCTCAGTTATGTTGGAGAAACAAAATGACATACAGATGTGGGTTTTTGTATCAACAGGCAAATCAAGCCCTACATGGAAGAAATTAAGGGGATCACTGAAGGAATAATTGTACCAAAATTAAGATTTGAAAAAGACAACATCACAATCTTCAAAGTTCACGTGAAAACCGAATGCAACAGTAATGTTCAATGTTGAAACACTTTGAACAACTTGATATTGAGAATAAATTCTTAAAATGATTCGAGAACTTACCATGCAAAGATCAGGAGGTCAATGCCAATTTAGAACAGAACACTCCAAATTAATGGATTTTTATCTATGACTGGAAAAGTCCCTCCTAAATGTGACTCCTGTAAAGTTTCTTTAAATATACCGTACAAATTAATTACTACCTTCCATCTCACCAAGTAGAAGTTAGCCTGATAATATTCTTAACTCTTAATCATTTTCAAAAGAAAATTATAGATTTTGCTAAATAAATAAACAAAACACCCATTTGGAGAAACTAATTATCATGTTATTGGTTGCGTTTTACAATGTATTTGATTAAGAGTCTTATTATTGAATTGCCATTGTTAAATGTATCAATTTCTTTAGTCGTTAATCACCTTGATGTCATGTGACTATTATGATTTTAAGGTTATAGAAAATCCAATCAATTCTGTTTCATTCACATTCTTAATATTCACTTTTTCTCGACGTTTGAGACTTAGGATTTGGATTTTGAGATTTAGAGAGAGAGAAGACCGATTTGGAACGAAGAAACGAATTTCCTCTTCCACCTCTGTATCCATAATCTTGTTAGCCTATAAGGGTTAGGCAGGAATCCCAGAATTTAAGGAAAAGTGCACTTCTCCTCGCCCCAGGAGCAAAACACAAATTTAAATGTTTGACATAATGTAAATCAAATTTTTAAAAATATTGAATCCAACGTCACGCGGGTTCCCAGCGTCACCCATCCAAGTACTAACCGCGCCCGACGCTGCTTAACTTCGGTGATCGGACGAGAAACCGGTGCTTTCAACGTGGTATGGACGTTGGCGACCAGACATGTTTCATAAAATGAATTTGTAGTAAATAAAATATACTTTTATCTCATTATTTTAAATTATAATTGTAAGTTTTATTTAGTGAGACCAAGATAAATACGTCCTCGTAGTATATAATAAAATATTCTCTTTTACATTCGAGTTTCGTTTCATACACTTTTGTGATTGAATTAACTCTTGAATAAGCTCTCCACAGTCTACCCACAGCAATCCACATTAATTACAGTTTAATCGTCAATGTCACAGTAGCCCAAGGGAAGAATGTATATAACCAAGAAAAAACAACCAAACTGCTAGGTGTGTTTGAGACTGGATACGGCTTGCGCATGAGACGCGTCAAAACTGTTCGTCCTTCCTACATTCTAATTTTGCAAGAATTATTATTGATAACATTGATTCCCCCCTTTCAAATTTTTATTTTATTGGTCCATTTGTGCAAGACGCAATTCACTTGCCGCCCGAATATGGGGTCAATATTTCCATAAATTGTGTTTATTTCGTTTATTGCTGGGCCATACCTCTTCTCCACACCATCTAATCATTAAACATAAATACAATAAAAACATAAACACATAAATTCATTGAAACATCTTCCGTACACATCGCATTGAATGCTTGCCGATTAATGCCAAAGATTCTGTCAATTCTCAAACGGAGCGCGCGACATGAGAACGCCATACGCAGGTTTGGCTTTTACCTCCTCGCGACTCCTGAACTCCGCGTGCCGTTTCGCGGTGTTGCGCGATCGAGCCACCGAACGGCAGGCAGGCACCTAGTTAGTGCGCAACAAACTGTTCAACTGTGCAAACTAGTAGGAAGCAATGAAAACTAGTAGCAATGAAAGAAGCAAAATATGTATATGTACATATACACACACGTATTTATTGTTCCCAAAATATGTAGAATAGAAAAAAGTGTGGTGAAGTAAGTGTGTACGAAAACTTCCTTCACTGTCAGGGCCGGATTGAATGAATAAAAAGATGGGCCAAGAGTTCACGTTCCACGTTACAAAATTCAAAAATTCAAAATTAGATGATAGGTAGGGGCGGGTTTTCATCACTTTGTAACATGGCTAAAAAGGATCAATATATTGCTCTTAAAATCTTTTTAAAATGCCCTAAAAACAAAGAAAAATACGTTAAAAAATTTATTAAAACTACTTCAGACGAACATCTCAAGCTGTTGGATATGCTAGTGATGTAATCAAGGCCTTTTCCTTTTGTTCACGTGAACTCAGCTTGCAAACATTTGGTTTGGACTGTTCTTTACAAGAAAACCTCTGCCTTTATTAATCGCAAAATAACCCGAACTGACAATGTCTTCACGGGAACCCGAGATTACAGTCACTACACAACGGCTGACATACGAGCGAAGAAATCGAATAGGCTACTCAGGATTTGTTGTGAACATTTATTTATTGCATCTTCCCAATTTTTTTTGAAGCAAGTACTAATAAAATTATATTAAAATCTATTAAATCAGGAGAAATGCATTGAAAATGACGTAAAAAGGCAAACCAGTACTGAAACAGGGCGTTC